TTCTCGGACTGGAGTTAATTTTTTTAATTGTTTTTTTTTATTCTTGGAATTATTGGATTTATTGAGTTTCTTCGGTTTTTACGATTGTTTGAATTTTTCAGATTTTCTGGGGTTTTTGTTTTTTTCTCTATAATTTGTATTTTTGTTTTTTTTCATTTTTTGAGTTGCATTTCTTATTTTCTAATTTTATTTTTTTGCATATTTTGTTCCTTGGGGTTTTTTAGATTTTGACTGTTACCAGAGATAGTGACTTCATAAGTAATTCTTGGTTTCTAGCCGAGTGTGTTTTCTGTTGAAGTTACTATAGAAACTATTCTTAATGTCCTAGGGTATTATTTGGTCAAATCCACGCCATTATACACCAATAATAAACCAGTAAGACACATATGTTTTAAAAATAACCCAAAAAAAAAAAATACGAAAAAGAAAATTTGTTCAAAACTCCAGAAAAGTGTATAAACTGGAAAATTGCACATTCTTCTATTGGTTGCATTTACTTTAGAAGAATTAATTTATTTCCTTTGATTTTTGAAATCGGATTTTTCGATTTTTCGTATATTTTAAATTATTCCATTTCTTGAGTATCTTGGATTTTTTGGATTTTTTTAATTGTTCCGATTTTTTTTAACTTTTTCGGTTTATCTGTTTTTAGAATTATTCCATTTTTTTCTATTATTTAAATAACTTCTGTTTTTTTTCGTTTTCTGAAATTTTAATTTTCGGGTTATTTCCAATTTTTGAATTTTTATATTTTTTGAACTTTTGAGCTTTTTTGAGGTCCTTGGGTTTCTTGGATATTTTCGATTTTTTGAATTAACGCATTTCTTGAGTTTCCCCATTTCTCTGATGTTTTGCTTTTTTTTCGAGATTTTTTGCTTTTTGGATTTTTGAATCTTCCGGATTTTGCCTGTTATCAGAGATGGTATGAAGTTTTAAAAATTATTAATAGATAGGTTTCTTGCAATCGCGTTTTCTGTTGACGTTCTCTTCTTTTCTTTTTGATGTCTCTCTCTATATATTATATTACATTTTGTCGTTGTTTTCTTAATATACCTAGTCATCTTTTCACAACAAAAATTTAAAACAGATGACCACGTATATTCAGAGAAAAACCCATAATATAAACCCCGCCCATCCGCCCTATCTCAATCGTGATGATTTTTTTTCATTCGTCGAAAGCCAAAAGGGCGGAGCTTAATTGCAAAATCCTCCTGGTAGGAAAACAAGGATTTTGCAATTAAGCTCCGCCCCACGACTCACGCAGGTAAAAAAAATCATCCCGACTGAGACAGGGCGGGTGGGTGGGGCTTATATTATTCCTTTGTTTCTTAATATACCTGGTAATATTTTAAATTTTTGTTGCGAAAAAATGTCTGAGTATATTAAGAAAACAAAAAGGCAAAATATAAGCTCCGCCCACCCACCCTACCTCAATTGAGATGATTTTTTTATCTGTCGCGAGCCAAGAGGGCGACGCTAAATTGCAAAAACCTTATTTCTCAACAAGAAATTACCACGTAAGACATGTTTTTGAGTATCGTGTTCTTCAAACAATACTAGGTATATTAAGTCTAAATTAAAGCCATACTGATATCGATATATTTTTTTTATTTTCATTTTATCGATATCGGTGTAATCTCTCAAATCTGGTTTTAGTTTCTCTCTTGTACCACTTCGTTTCCATTCATTCACTCTCTAGTCTCCTTTTCAGACTCTATTTTCGCCGCATTTTTCATCTTCACCTAGTTTTACTGTTTTTTTAAGCTTTTGTCTCGCCTGCTTTAGCCTCTCTAGAGCACTCGGTTGTCAGTTTTTTTTTTCTTTCAGATCTCAACTTTCTCTAGTATCTTTTTGTATCTCTTCTTTTCCTCTTTTCTCGTTTTTTTCCCCTAAATTTCTTTTATGTTTCTTCTCTCTTTTAAGTGACCATATAAAATAGTTATTTGTGTATCAAACATTTACTACAGAAGTACTAACTTATTTACTCGGACTTTTTGAATGTTGGATATTTTTATTTTTTTCCAGTTTTTGGATTTTCTGGATTCTTGGAATTATTGATTTTTTGAGTTTCCTTGGTTTTTTGGATTGTTTGGTTTTTTAGATTTTCTGGGGTTTTTGTTTTTTTCTCATTTTCCGATTTTTTTGAGTGTTTGGAATATTTTCGATTCTTTGGATTATTGAATTTCTTGAGTTTCCTGCATTTCTTGTTTTCTAAATTTTTTAATGATTTGCTCTTTGGATTTTTTGGGGTTTTTTTGACTGTTACCAGAAATCGTGATTTCAATAAGTAATTCTTGGTTTCTAGCCGAGTGCGTTTTCTGTTGACGTTACTATAGCAACTATTTTTAATGCCCTTGGGTATTATTTGGTCAAATCCACGCCATTATACACCAATAATAAACCAGTAAGACATAAATGTTTTAAAAATAACCAACAAAAAAAAAATACGAAAAAGAAAATTTGTTCAAAACTCCAGAAAAGTGTATAAACTGGAAAATTGCACATTCGTCTATTGGTTGCATTTACTTTAGAAGAATTAATTTATTTCCTCTGATTTTTGAAATCGGATTTTTCTATTTTTCGTATATTTTGAATTATTCCATTTCTTGAGTATCTTGGATTTTTTGGATTTTTTTAATTGTTCCGATTTTTTTAACTTTTTCGGTTTATCTGTTTTTGGAATTATTCCATTTTTTTTCTATTATTTAATTAACTTCTGTTTTTTTTTTCGTTTTCTGAAATTTTAATTTTCGGGTTATTTCCAATTTTTGAATTTTTATATTTTTTGAATTTTTGAGCTTTTTTGAGGTCCTTGGGTTTCTTGGATATTTTCGATTTTTTGAATTATCGCATTTCTTGAGTTTCCCCATTTCTCTGATTTTTTGCTTTTTTTTTGAGATTTTTTGCTTTTTGGATTTTTGAATCTTCCGGATTTTGCCTGTTATCAGAGATGGTATGAAGTTTTAATAATTATTAATAGATAGGTTTCTTGCGATTGCGTTTTCTGTTGACGTTCTCTTCTTTTCTTTTTGATGTCTCTCTATATATATTATATTATATTTTGTCGTTGTTTTCTTAATATACCTAGTCATCTATTCACAACAAAAATTTAAAACAGATGACCGGGTATATTCAGAGAAAAACCCATAATATAAACCCCGCCCATCCGCCCTATCTCAATCGTGATGATTTTTTTTCATTCGTCGAAAGCCAAAAGGGCGGAGCTTAATTGCAAAATCCTCCTCGTAGGAAAACAAGGATTTTGCAATTAAGCTCCGCCCCACGACTCACGCAGGTAAAAAAAATCATCCCGATTGAGACAGGGCGGGTGGGTGGGGCTTATATTATTCCTTTGTTTCTTAATATACCTAGTAATGTTTTAAATTTTCGTTGTGAAAAGATGTCTGAGTATATTAAGAAAACAAAAAGGCAAAATATAAGCAACGCCCACCCACCCTAGCTCAATTGGGATGATTTTTTTTATTCGTCGTGAGCCAAGAGGGCGAAGCTTAATTGCAAAATTCTCATTTCTCAACAAGAGATTACTATGTAAGACATGTTTTTGAGTATCGTGTTGTTAAAAAAATACTAGGTATATTAAGTCTAAATTAAAGCCAGACTGAGATCGATATTTTTTTTTAATTTTCATTTTATCGATATCGGTGTAATCTAGTTTTAGTTTCTCTCTTGTACCACTTCGTTTCCATTCATTCACTCTCTAGTCTCCTTTTCAGACTCTATTTTCGCCGCATTTTTCATCTATACTCTTTTTGTATCTCTTCTCTTCCTCTTTTCTCGTTTTTTTTCCTAAATTTCTTTTTTGTTTCTTCTCTCTTTTAAGTGACCGTATAAAATAGTTATTTGTGTATCAAACATTTACTTCAGAAGTACTAACTTATTTACTCAGATTTTTTTATTTTTTCCATTTTTCGGATTTGGAATTATTGGATTTTTTGAGTTTCCTTGGTTTTTTGGATTGTTCGGTTTTTAGATTTTCTGGGGTTTTCGTTTTTTTTGGGTTTTTTTGAATTTATTCCATTTTTTTGTGTTTTTTTGTTTTTTTTTCTCATTTTCTGATTTTTTGAGTGTTTGGAAAATTTTCGATTTTTTGGATTATTGAATTTCTTGTTTTCTAATTTTTTTAATGATTGCTCTTTGGATTTTTTGGATATGCGATTTTTTGAATATTTTGAATTATTGCATTTCTTGACTTTCTTGGGTTTTTTGGATTTTTTAATTGTTCCGATTTTTTTGACTTTTTGTTTTTTTTTTTGTTTTTAGAATTAATCCATATTTTTCTATTACATATTTAGATAACTTCTGTTTTCTTTCGTTTTTATTTTCGGGATATTTCCAATTTTTGAATTTTTAGATATTTTAGTTTTCTTGGATTATTATAAATTTGTTAGGGGCTTATTATTCGAGGAGTGCCGTTTATATTCAGCACAAAGTATGTAATATTATTTCGGAGCTGTCTCTTGAGGAATTCGACACCTAAATCCTACTCACAATTAACTTTTTTTACAAATTATAACTTATTTTTTTTATAAAATTCACCTTTCAACAATTGTCCAAGTAAGACAGCAATCGTTTACTAATTATATATATTTTTTTACGTCAAGTGGGTAAAACTGAGCTGTATCGAAAATATTAATTTTGATTAATGATTTATGAAGTCTATTAATAATGTATAAGCACCAACTGGGGTTTCTCGGACCTGAGTTTGTCTGATTCACCCCATGAAACAACACGTTATAGCCTGTTTACATATTCTTCAACAGGGAGTACTCATCCATAATGGAAATAAGTAGACTGTTCATTGAAAGCATAAAAAAACAAATATTAATGGACTCAGCGCGATTCTTGATCGGCCTGCTTGTTACTTAATGGCTTGGTTACACAAAAATACGCTTTTTATGTGCACCCGCGAAAAAATATTAAAAGCCTCTTCCATTCCACCCGTTCATTTCGCTCCTTTCCCGGCTCGGAATAAAACTCACCTGTTTGTGCATTTCTACGTTAAGGCCATAGGACATTTCGTAATACTGCAACAGAAAAAAAACCAATTAGCATTCGTAAAACAGCGGGACCGCTGACGAGTGCGGCCTTAATTAACCGCTTTTCGCGAAATATTAACCCATTTAAAAAATGTCGCCCGTTATAATTCAAGTTTACCGAGTAATATTGTTTTCATGTAATAACCTTATTTAAAGGGATAGTAAATCGTGTCACGTTCCGTTCCCCCAACGTTCACCGTACTTAACCGAGTTTCGCCCCTCTCTGCGGAATTATAACTCGACACAAATCTTATCAGATCCTCGCTTATCTTCTCTAGGTTCGTCCATTATACTTTCTCCTCGTTCTTTATTTCTTCATTTGATGATACCGAAAACTCACACGATGGAAATTCCCGGCACAGAACTCGCCTCCGCAACCCTATTTATTTTTCATTTCGCTGATGCGTTGTGATCAGGCTGTTTTAAACGAAATTTCGGGACGTTGCGTGACAGCTTTATTAGGTGTTAGGGGGAGGGGCGGAATTATTGCGCTCCTTGAACTTGACGGCAGCGACCTATAGTTACACAAAACCAGAGAACATAGAGAAACGTCATAGTTTAAATTAAATGACGGTTGAGGACACCTCGACTTATGTTGGCAACAGTGTTTGTTTCTAACTAGAGAGAGAGAACTTGTTTGATCTACAGACCAGAGCGCAGTCAGGCCAATGTCGACTCTAAGCGTTCGGAAACGATTGGATCTGATACACATCCTAACCGGTTTCGGCTATACTTTCTTGCTGTTTCGACTATACTTTCTTGCTGTTTCAACTTTCGAATTCTCAGTTTTTCCAAATTTTAGTTTGGGGACTTTTCAGTTTACTCCTATTTATTATTCAATTTTTGGATTTCACAATTTCTCAATTTTTCAATTTCTCGGTTTTCAGTTTTTCTCTTCAATTTTGCGATTTTTAAATATTTCGATTTTTCAATTTTTCAATTTTTTTTATTTCTCAGTTTTTGGATGTTTCAGTTTTGGGATTTTTCAGTTTACTTTTTTCTAATCAATTTTACGATCTTACGATTTTGAAGGTTTTTGATTTTTCAATTTTTCGATTTTTTAAGGTTTCGATATTTCGACTTCACTTTTTTGATTTTTCGATTTCTCAATTTTTCGGTTCTTTACATTCTCAGTTTTTGCATATTTCAGTTTTGGGATTTTTCAATATTTCTGTTCTTCAACTTTTCCATTTTTGACTTCTGGATTTTTCGATGTGTCGACTTTTTACTTTTTCGATTTTTAAATTTTAGGTTTTTCGATTTTTCGATTTTTCATTTCAGTTCTTAGATATTTCAGTTTTTCAAGTTTTCGAATTTTTAATGTCTTGATTTCTTAATCTATCGATTTTTCGACTTTCCGGTTTTAGATTTTCTGTTTTTCAGTTGCGGTTTTTTCAAATTTTCGATTCTTCAATTTTTCAAATTTGACAATAAACTGTCAATTTTTCGATTTTTCAATGTTTTGATTTTCCTATTTCTTGACTTTCGAGGGTTTCGATATTCCTGTTCTTCAATTCTTTAATTTTTCGATTTCTCAGATTTATGATTTTTCATTTTTTAGTTTTTTTAAGATTTCGATTTTTCGACTTCACTTTTTGGATTTTTCGATTGCTCTTTTTTTCGACTTTTTAGGTTCTTAGTTTTTGGATTTTTCAGGTTTTCCATTTTTCAGTTTTCCGATATTTCAGTTTTGGGATTTTTCAATATTTCGATCCTTCGACTTTTCGATTTTTGACTTCTGGATTTTACGTTGTGTCGATTTTTTTACTTTTTCGATTTTTAAATTTTAGATTTCTCAACTTTTTGGTATTTTAATTTTTCAATATTTAAGATTTTTCGATTTCTCGATTTTTCATTTCAGTTCTTCGATATTTCAGTTTTTTTGCAAGTTTTCGAATTTTTCAAATGTTTTGATTTCTTAATCCATCGATTTTTCGACTTCCCGGTTTTAGATTTTCTGTTTTTCAGTTGTCGTTTTTTAAAATTTACGATTTTTCAATTTTTCAAATTTGACATAAACTGTCAATTTTTGGATTTTTCAATAAAACCAAGTTTTGATTTTCCCATTTCTTGACTTTCGAGGGTTTCGATATTCCTGTTCTTCAATTCTTTATTTTTTCGATTTTTCAGGTTTCTGATTTTTTATTTATTAGTTTTTTTAAGATTTCGATTTTTCGACTTCACCTTTTGGATTTTTCGATTGCTCAATTGTTCGACTTTTTAGGTTCTCAGTTTTCGGCTTTTTCAGGTTTTCCATTTTTCAGTTTTTCTTTAATTTTTCAGTTTTTCGATATTTCAGTTTTGGGATTTTTCAATATTTCGATTCTTCGACTTTTCGATTTTTGATTTCCGGATTTAGTTTCCCATTTTGAGTTTTTCTTTCATTTTTCAGTTTTTCGAAATTTCAGTTTTAGAATTTTTTAATATTTCGATTCTTCGACTTTTCGATTTTTGATTCCTGGATTTTTCGATGTGTCGATTTTTTTACTTTTTCGATTTTTAAATTTTAATTTTGAAAATTTTAGATTTTTCGATTTTTCATTTTTTCCAAGTTTTCGAATTTTTCAAATGTTTCGATTTCTTAATCTTTTGATTTTTCGACTTTTTGGTTTTAGATTTTCTGCTTTTCAGTTGTCGTTTTTCCAATTTTTCAAATTTGACTTTTATAAACTCTCAATTTTTCGATTGTTCACTGAATCGATGTTTTGATTTTCCCATTTCTTGACCTTCGAGTGTTTCGATTTTCTTGTTCTTCAATTCTTTAATTTTTCGATTTTTCGGGTTTTTGATTTTTCACTTTTTAGTTTTTTTAAGGTTTCGATTTTTCGACTTCACTTTTTGGATTTTTCTATTTTTCGGTTTTTAGATATTTCAGTTTTAGAATTTTTCAATATTTCAATTCTTCTGCTTTTCTATTTTTGACTTTTTACTTTTACGATTTTTCAATGTTTAGATATTTTAATTTTTCAATATTTCTTAATCTTTCGATTTTTCGACTTTTTGGTTTTAAATTTTCTGTTTTTCAATTATCATTTTTTTAAATTTTCGATTTTCAATTAATCGATGTTTTGACTTTCCCATTTCTTGACTTTCAAGTGTTTTGATATTCCTGTTCTTCAATTCTTTAATTTTTCGAGTTTTCAGGTTTTTGATTTTTCATTTTTTAGTTCTTTTAAGATTTCCATTTTTCGATTGCTCAATTTTTCGAGTTTTTAGGTTCTCAGTTTTCGGATTTTTTAGGTTTTCCATCTTTCAGCTTTTCTTTCATTTTTCAGTTTTGGGATTTTCCAATATTTCGATTCTTCGACTTTTCGATTTTTGACTCCTGGATTTTTCGATTTTTAAATTTTAGATTTTTTAACTTTAAAAATTTCAGATTTTTCGATTTTTCATTTCAGTTCTTCGATATTTTAATTTTTTCCAAGTTTTCGAATTTTTCAAATGTTTCGACTTCTTAATCTTTTGATTTTTGGACTTCCTGGTTTTAGATTTTCTGTTTTTCAATTGTCATTTTGTCAAATTTTCGATTTTTTAATTTTTCAAATTTCAGTGAATCGATGTTTTGATTTTCCCATTTCTTGACCTTCGACTGTTTCGATTCTCTTGTTCTTCAATTCTTTAATTTTTCGATTTTTCAGGTTTTTGATTTTTAATTTTTTAGTTTTTTTTGAGGTTTCGTGTTTTCGATTTCACTTTTCGGATTTTTCGATTTTTCAGTTTCTAGATATTTCAGTTTTAGAATTTGTCAATATTTCAATTCTTCTGCTTTTCTATTTTTGATTTTTTACTTTTACGATTTTTCAATTTTTGGATTTTAAAATTTTAGATTTTTCAATCTCTTGATATTTTAATTTTTCAATATTTCTTAATCTTTCGAATTTTCGACTTCCTGGTTTTGGATTTTCTGTTTTTCAGATGTCGTTTTTCTAATTTTTCGATTTTTCAATTTTTCAAATTTGACATTTATAAACTGTCAATTTTTCGATTTTTGAATGGATCGATGTTTTGATTTTCCCATTTCTTGACTTTCGATATTCCTGTTCTTCAATTCTTTAATTTTTCGATTTTCCAGGTTTTTGATTTTCTTTTTTTAGTTTTTTTAAGAGTTCGATTTTTCCACTTCACTTTTTGGATTTTTCGATTGCTCAATTTTTCGACCTTTTAGGTTCTCAGTTTTCGGATTTTTCAGGTTTTCCATTTTTCAGTTTTTCGATATATCAATTTTGGGATTTTTCAATATTTCGATTCTTCGACTTTTTGATTTTTGGCTCCTGGATTTTTCGATGATGTGTCGATTTTTCAATTTTTCGATTTTTAAATTTTAGATTTTTTAATTTTCAAAATTTTAGATTTTTCGATTTTTCATTTCAGTTCTTCGATATTTAAATTTTTTCCAAGTTTTCAAATTTTTCAAATGTTTCTATTTCTTAATTTTTTTATTTTTCCACTTCCAGGTTTTAGATTTTCTGTTTTTCAATTGCCATTTTGTCAAAATTTCGATTTTTTAATTTTTCAAATTTCAGTGAATCGATGTTTTGATTTTCCCATTTCTTGACCTTCGAGTGTTTCGATTTTCTTGTTCTTCAATTCTTTAATTTTTCGATTTTTAATTTTTTAGTTTTTTTAAGGTTTCGACTTTTCAACTTAACTTTTTTGAATTTTCGATCTTTCAGTTTTTAGATATTTCAGTTTTAGAATTTTTCAATATTTCAATTCTTCGGCTTTTCTATTTTTGACTTTTTACTTTTACGATTTTTCAATTTTTGGATTTTTAAATTTTAGATTTTTCAATCTTTTAATATTTTAATTTTTCAATATTTCTTAATCTTTCGATTTTAGATGTTTTGTTTTTCAATTTTTCCATTTGTTAATTTTTCATTCCCGATTTATCGAGATTTGATTGTTCAGGTTTTCGATTTATCAGTTTTTCAATTTTTATTTTGGCATCTCAGTTTTTCCAGTTTTCCATTTTTTCGCGTTTCGATTTT